ATATAATAATATAATATAAATAAAAAATTTATTTCGAAAAGAAATTTCGAAATAAAAAAAAAAAGAAAAAATGAAAAAAATATTAAAATAATATTATTTCATAACATGTTTAAAATAATATCCTTCGAAACACTAATCAAATCATTTATAAGTAAGCTTTCTTGAATATTTAATAATATTAAAGAATAAAAATATGTATTGTTCTATATATTAATTACTCCTTTAAGAAAATATTAATTATTGATTAATTTAGATCTTGCATATTTATAGATTTTTATTAAATTATATATTTATAAATTTATATAAATGTTTATAGATTTTCTCTAATTTAGATTTTGAATTTTATTTTTAGATTTTTTCAATATATATTTTTATATTTGATAATATTTTATGTTTTTATTATAATATCACAAGAGAAATTTAATTAGGATTACTGATTTAATTATTTAAATATTTCTTTGAATCGTTAAATCTTTTTTTATTTTTTTTTCCAAATTTTATTCTTATCAATTTTCAAATGATTTTCTTTGTTCTTTTTATATATTAATACAGTTTTTTTTATTATGCTTTTTAACTTATGTGAGTATACAAACGAAATACGGATTATATATGATATTTTTTAAAATTTATGTGACATATTCTAATACAAATGATCCTAATAGTTGATTGAATGAAAAATGATAAATATTATTTGAATAAAATGTGAATATATGAAATATATAATCTCACTTTTGGCAATTTATATTGAAAATTATAAATACACATGATATATATACATATAAGAAGTTCATGATGCTATTAAGTTAACAATTTTTTTATAAATATTTTTCTAAATAACCGCATTATTATATCAATCATATTATAATATTCAAATATAAAATGTTAGCCAAAATATAATTTAACAAAAACAGATTATATCCAGATGGAATAATATATTAACAAAATCAAGATTTAATAAGGATATATTTCGATGAGATATAATAAAAATCAAGTCAAATAACAAAAATCAAATCAATAACAAAAATCAATTGAACAAGATCTTAATCTTTCAAATGTGGTAACATATAAACAGACCAGAATTGAATTTCAATAAACGTATTAATAATTAATTGAAAGTTTTTAACTTTTTAACGATACCAATTATTCTTGGAAATCCGAAATTTTAAATTTGACTTTCATCCAATTATAGTCGGAAAATGGCAAATTATTTAAATTATTGATATTAATCTAATATGACATAATAACAAATATAAATTTTTTTTTAATATTTTTCAAGAAATGAAACGAATCTTAAATATTTTTAATAGAATGTTGTATATTTTTTATCATATATGAATTGTATATCATATATTTATATCATATAAGAATTTATTTATTATTGTACAATTTATATTATTTTATACATTTATCAAATCAATTTGAATGAATTGAATTTATTCTGATTTTGATTTTTTTTATTGATTTTTGAATATTTATTATCAATTTGACATGTTGTTTTTCCGATTTTTAATTAATCTATTAATTAATTATAAACATTCTTTTTGATTAATGTGATTCATTTCATATTAGTTATATAAATATCTGAAAATTCAATATTGTTCTCAATCCTAATGATAATAATATTAAAAATAGAACATTTGTGAAATATTGATAAAATATAACATGTTGTTGATAAAACACATCGACCCAGAAATCAATTGCACTATCAAATTTCATTAATCTCATTAATAACAATTTTAATTGAACCCTAAAGAGTTTTCATTTCTTTATTCCTATTTCTATTTCAATATAGTTTTTGTTCTACTATTATTTTTTGGTTTTTATTTCTTGTCTGCAATATTCTTCTACAAAGTTCCATTTGAGTCTAATTGACAATTATTAATCAGATGTAAATAAATCTCTTCACTTTTTTATGACTTTTTCTACCGATTTCAATTTTATATTTATTTTTCTTCTCTTCTCAATATGTTAAAGACAAGGCTTATAAAGCGGTCGGATAATCTGGCCTATGTTTTCAATAGTTCGAGTACTATCAGTAGCCTGACAATAATTTATGAGCAGGCATGGTTTTCCTAATGTTTTCCAGATTTATAATTTAAACAAAAGTCTCTAATTTAAATATAGGAACGGCTACTTCACGAATCACATTTGCATGCCATGCGATGGACCATCGTGAGAGCGAGCGCGAAGATTCTGATCCTCACGCTGCAACCTCGCGAGAGCCCTTCGAGGCTATTCTCCAGTGCGACCACTGGTCCCTCCAATCCATTCTCTATATTGTAATTATTTTCCCAAAAGTCAAAGATTGGAGAAAAACCAAGAGTCGCGACAGTCTTGCGATAGAGTTGATATAGAAATAGAAACGAGAACAGATAGAATTCGATGATACAGTATATATCAAAATATAATTAGAATCATCACAGTTAGCCACAAAGAGTCAAAATATCACCATTTGTTCACTACAAGCTCATAATATAAACGAATGTACAGTTCTACGAAAGTAGATAGTCTTTCGAGCAATAATATCAGTTTAGTCATTTCATTTGTGCAATATTTAAAGTCGTTCATCTTTTCAACTTTTTACACAATACGTATTCTCTTTTTTTATTTTTACTTTTATTTTTTTCGATGTTTTTAAAAACTTCCATTTTCTTTCGCATAAACAGTCAATATTAATTTGTCGACATTAAGTAACGTTATTAAATCAAAGTTCATATAAAATAAGCATTAAAATTTTCACTATTATTATTAATATAATTAGTATTATTATTATTAAATATATTTATTTAATTGTGGATATTTTTATTATTCTTTATAATGATATATCTAATATAAATTATTATAATTAATTATTAATTATATATGAATAATTAAATTATTCGTTATATTATAATTTCGATATCAATTTTCGATAGGTGTTTCTTATATATTTTAATCTATAAATATATAATCTTCTTAAATATATAATCTGTAAATATACTTATATAGCCATAGTTTTTTAAAAAAATTAATTTTTAAAAAATGACAATTTGTCAATTTTGTTCTATATATTTTTGTATAATAATAGTTACTTAGTTGATTGCTATTTGGATTTTTTTAAATAAAATAATATAAATAGTAATTGAATTATGAAATATATTAACATATCTAAATATGTCACCATAAAAATTAACAGTATATCTATATTTATTTTTGCTAATATTTTTCAATTTATTAAAAAACTAAAGATTTAAAAGAAAATGCAACCACATAAAATAGAACAGCTTTTCTGCTGAAGAAAAAAATTAAAAAAAGAGATAAAATTATATTTGTTTTTAATATAAAAGCAAAATAGTTTGTCAGAATGAGCAGCAATGATATTAATAACACTCAATGATATCGCGATTCCAATACTGTGCAACATATTGGATAGTGGACGACCTCATTGAGTACTACACATACATACATATGATACATATACATTATTGTATTTTATCAAATAATTATTATTATTATTTTATCAAATAATTTTTTTATTACCTTTGTTTATTTTTCTATTTATTAAGTTATATTAGCTATATTATCTTATATTATATATGTATAAGTTTGTGTATAATATATTATGTATTATATAATATTATAATATTATATTTATCTATAATTATTAATATGTTATAATATATATATTATATATATGTATATATATATAAAATACACAAAAAATAATATAATAATATGTATTATAATATATTATTGTATATTATATATTATATATTATTATAATATTATCATATTATGTTAGTTTTCCAATGATTAATCTCGTGAATTTTTCAGAATTGGTTGATAGTCATAGAGGTTATGTTATGACTAAATTTTTATAATATTAGTATGAAGAATTACTTTATGTTTATAAATTGCAGAGAAAATAAAAATTATGTTCCAAGATTATAATTGTGTGCAATATCTATAGGCTCTGAATTTTCTCTAAGTATTCTTGTTTGATGTTTGAATTCTAGTTTTCTCAAATTTCAATGAGAATAGGAATAATTTCAAAAATTCATTTAAAAAAAGATATAAGATTAGTTGATTTCATGATTTATTTGATGTATTACAAAATGACAAGAAAGATGATCAAGTCTATCTTATTGATATAAATAATAAAAAATGACCAGATCCAAATCGTATTACTACTTTCAAATAGTAATCTTAATTCCTGAAAAAGATTAATTAAAAACTTTGCGTATCTCCCAAAATGATTAGGAGACAATTAGTTTAAAAAGCACTTGAAATCTGACGAACATGCAATAAATTTCAGAAATTAAAAGGATATTTTAAGAAGTCAGATATTAAAAATTACAAATCTTTGAAATAAAATATTAAAGAAAAAAAATTAAAAAAAGAAAGTATATGGATTGATAGCTTTATAAATTTATTACTGCT